TATAATAAGATAACCTTGTTTGAAATGGGTGTGGCTAAAAGAAAATTTTGGTTTCGTCTATACTACTAGGTACTTATACTATATTGACTGGGTTAAATAGAATTGCATTTCTAAAAAGAGACTAAAATACAATTTTCATTGACTAAAACTAGACTAAATGTCATCAGTTTTCGTAGACTAAAACTAGACTAAAATACTCATGGATAATTCTGACTAAAATAAGACTAAAATGTTCAGACTTTTAGTTGACTAAAACTTGACTAGACTAAAAATAGTATGAACGTGACTAAAACTAATAAAAACTAAAATGACAGCTTCACACTAGTCTAAAACTAAAATTAAAACAGGCCGCCAAAAACAACACTAGTCAACAGGCCCTCATATGGCTTGTTAACTGAGGGGTGTTACAGAGTATTTGTTAAATATAACTAACAAAAACTATATTGTGTGTCTGATTGGTCCAGACGCTACAGTGACAAGAGCAGGAAACTGTGCAGACGTGGTCACATGACCAGGAGGAAGTCTGATGAGAGAGAGAGAGAGATGAGAGAGAGAGATACAAAGGAAGGTAGAGAGGTAGACGAGGTGCTGTAGTCTGCGGGTCTCTGATGATGGTAAGTTCTCATCAATGTCTTGCTTATTGTTATAGATGAACATCACAGTGATCATAATCGCATCTATCAGGGTTTGATCTGTGAGACTCGAGCATTAATGTGCCAAACAGATGCTGAAGGTTTGATAGGAAGGAAGCGCTCACATTCACGGCCAGTCAAACGTGTAGACACACTTGACTGAGTTTGTTTCTCTTGATCTTAAAGGGACAGTTCATCCAGAAATGAAAACTGTCATCATTAACTGACCCTCGTGTCGTTCTAAATCTCAGTATCTTAAGATATTTTTTTTTGTCCATACAATAAAATTCAATGGGATCCAACACAATATTCATTGTACTGACCAAAAAAAAAAAAAGTTTTTCCAAGTATCTTCTGAGTTTCACAGAATAAGGCTAGTCATGTTTGAAATGACAAGATGAGAGGATTTTTCACCTTTTTTTGGTGAACTGTCTCTTTAAAATTAATTTGCTCTAAAGACTCGCACTTCAAGTCAATGTTAAACGCTGTTCGCAGGCCTTTTTACTTCCGTAATGTGATGTAGTTTTGAGCATTTATTTTTTGACGAATTAATTGAATTGTGGAAAATGGCCCTTATTTACCAGATTGAAGCCAGCTTTATACTTTTATTATTTTTTTTTTCATTATTTATGTATTCGCTCTGGCACCGATAGCCTCGTGGTTAGTGTGATGACATATAGTGCAACTGTGCTCGTGGCGACCCGAGTTCGATTCCCGTCTCAAAGGTCGTTTGCTGATCTCCCCC